ATTGGATGCTCCGAGCAATCTTCTAAAACTCCCTCCTCGGCCTTCAAAAAAAAATAGAGCAAACGCCACTCGGTTTGCGGGGAGCAGCTTAAAAGCGCGCCCCCTCGAAATTCGATTAGCTTTGGTAAGTGTATACATACGCGGTCGGACATGTGGCGGGTCTGTTTGTGTTTGTGAACGCTGCAGCCTCGGAGGTCTATTATCTAATACTCTCTTTATCGCGACCGTGGGCTTTTTCACGGCTCGTCTAATTGTGTTTTCTCTGTAAACAATCTCACGACTCCAAGGGTGAAATTGGTTGTTTTTTTTTTTTTTTTTTTTTCAATCAAAATTGTCAAGATATAATTTGGTGGCTAAACTTCAATTTAACTCCCTGTTGGAAGTTAATTTTCAATATTAAAGAGACCACCCACAAGTTGCTCCAAAATTCTTGGGGTTCTCGAAAGATATTGGAGTTTCGTTTTTGGATGTAGTTCTCAGTCTGGGCCGTTTCGCCCCAACTGCTATTGGAGGGATTTGGTAGGTACAGACACCTTGTGGTACTGCAACCAGCGGGGAGGCCGAGCAAAAGATAATGTATAACCCCCGGTGGGGTATTCCCAAAAATACTAGCCTACAGCCGAAAAATCAATAATACCACGTAATCCACTTAGGAAGCTACCACCTCGCGTGAAATTCATAACTAGTCCTACCAAAATGATCGGTGGCGTAGTTAATTAATGAAAATTAAACTTTTGGCTACAATTCTCACTCCAGTAAAAGTACGTGGTGTATTTGTAGGGTAGCATCTACTTATATATACATATTTTTTTTATTTTATATTATAGTGCTCTACGTCCGGCTCCTTTAATAAGGGCACTACTGAGGGCACTTAGCACTTGGGTAAGGGACAAGGAAAGGGATAGGAGGCCTCCCATTACAGGAGCGAGGGTAGGGGAAATTAGGCAATTTTTGCTGCGAGAAGGTCGCCTAAGCCCTCCTCGAGGAGCATTGCGTGGTGAAAAAGCACATGTGAAAAATCACCATCTACTTGTATATGCTTGCAAAGAAAAGGTGTTCACAAACGAAAGACAAGCCCTCGGAGTTTCGGCTGACAAAGGATGGCGCAAGCCCGTCGCAAAGACGACACGCATCTCGCTATTGCTCCACGGGACCCACGTTTGACCTCTTCTATCCACGGATGCACGGCAGGAGAGGCTTCCAGAAACAGCGGGTGGAACCCCGCGCGAGGGGGTTGGGGGGGAGGTGATTAAAAATGGACCGAGCGAGATATACAGTGCCACGTTAAATCCTCCAGTGCTTCGCGAAGCCGGTGCTGCAAAGAAAAACGAACGGAGAGGGGTGGGGTGAACAAAAGGGAAAACGAGAAAGGAGATGCCCCCGCGGTCCGACTCTCATTTCAGGGAGGAGGAATTGCGGGTGAAAAAGAAAAAAGGGAGGGGGAGAGAACGAGCTTTATTAACGCGATACGCGAGCTCAAAGAAACTTTTGGTTGGCTTTTTATGCTCCGGTTCTCGTGCGTTGGACGCTGTGTACCGTACTTTTCTTTTTTTCTTTTTTTGTCGCTTCGACCCCTTTTCACCCAGGGCATGCCGATGAGTCCCGTGTATAACACTTTCGGGGATAAATCAATAGGCACCCCCTGCCTTTCACGCATCCATGTGTATACCTTTTTTTAGAGAAGCTCCGTCACAAGTCGAACCAAACAGTTGACGTATGTTTCAATCATTTGAAGCAAATGTAAGGTATCCGATCTACCTGTACAAACACTATACCTGCAAGTGTAAAAAAATCCCAGATGGTAAACATTACACTGACCGCCACGGCTAAGAAACGCTGTAACCTGCTCCTCGTTGACTGGTAAATTAACAAGAGCAAAACTGAAGAAAAACAGAAGAAAAGGAAGCCCTTGTAACTTTACCCTGTGCGTGTATACATAGGAGGTACAGCTCTGGCGTGGGGTTTTAAAAAAAACAGAGAGCCGTACCTTGTATGAATTACATCAATAAGAGGGGAAGAAGGGGTAGCATGTAACAGTCTTGCACTTTTTTTTCTAGTTTTTCCTGTAGCGAGATTGAAAGTACCATAGGTCTCTTTTTTTCGCAAACTGCTGCGGGAGGTGTGTGTAAGGTTGAACGAGTTTTTTTTCTTTTTTTTTTTTCATCGACTCGATACAACGGAAGCCTAATTGAAAATTGAACGAAAAAAAAAAAAAAAAAAAAAAAAAACGGGTACCCGAGCAAAGGAAAAGAGATCGGAGTTACATTATATTTTACTTTGAGACTCGAAGCGCTTGGATTTGTTGAATTATTACTTGAATATGCAATGGAGAAAAGAGAATAGGGGTAGTTTAAAGCGTCAATAACAACTTCCAATTGGCTGAGACTTTATTTATTTTTTAGTCATACCACATAACGGCTCTAAACATTTATTTTGCCGTTCCACCGCACATTTAAAAAAAAAAAAAAAAAGAGAAAATATTTTTAAAACCTTTCGTCACTATTTTTTATGTTGTATTATTTCATCGTACCTCTTGAATTTGAAAATACCGGTTTTTCAAGGATAAGTGTAGTTACAGTGAGTAGAATATAAAAAATCAAGTTTTACGAAAACCTTCAATGGCCATTGGGAATAAAATCGAGTATTCGGTATAGGATTGGAGAGAAAAGGCGTTCCCGTGACAGCCAAACTGAGTAAAGGACTATCCAGCAGTGGTCATGCACGACCTCGCAACGCTCCTGCACTGTCGTAAAGCCCAGGGACTCGTGCGGCCAACGGAATCGAGCACAAGAGAAAGAGAAAGAGAGAGAGAGAGAATTTTAGATCGGGAGAGGAGCCAACGCTAAAAGAGAGGAGGAGCATTGTGCCGGTGGAGGGTGATGTCGCAAAGGTCGCGGGACGACTTTTTACTGTCGCAATAAAATGTTCGAGCTTGTCCTTTCTCTGTACCACCATATTCCACGCTTTTCCCCCCACCCCTTTTGGCTCTTTAGCTGATTCGACCATATATCCCTTTGCTTTCGCAGCTCAACGTCACAACGAGTGAAAAGGGTAATTGCGTGTTTTTCTTTGGAATAAAAATGACGAGTTTTGGAATAAACGAAACAAATAACCCTTTCTGCAAACGATAAAAATCAGCCGCAGGTGCCCTTATGACTTGTTTTAAACTCTCCGGCGGCTACCATTGCGAGAAAAGGCCCGAGGAATAAAGAAGTAACGAGCTGTACGCCTCCCCTTTTTATTCCTCCGTAAAGATAAAACCGCGCGCATTGAATAAATAAGTATATACCTACAAGAGTTTCGTTTGATTGGTCCCAAATCGATCCAACCTGGGGTGGGGAGTGTTTAACTCGTGATGATTTGCTTTGAAACCCTTTACAATGAAGAAAAAATAAAAAAATAAAAAAATAAATAATAAAATCATCCCTCGATATACTAGCAGACCCGATGATCCCTTGTACCAAGCGAATCCCAAACTCTTCATGTGCCATTTCTTCCAATTAAATACCAATAAGGGCCAATAATTGACAGCTGTGCGTACACCAATGCCCCTGTAGGTACAGATGAGGGACGCCTCGGAGTAATGAATATTTTCCCCTCCCTACCCTTTTCCAACGAGAGGAAAATGTTACGCAATATATATGTACACACATCCTCCAGCAGCAGGGCAAACCTGTAAATGGGAGAAAAGCCACGTAATAACGCCAGCACTGACGGCGGGCTGTCGGCACCCGCGGGTCCATTGGGGAGTCTCCTCGGCTGCCAAGCAAAGGTATTTATTGTACGTGTATAGGTAACTTGAGTCCTCTCGAGAGTGAGAGAGAGGCCGAGAGCGAAGGGAGGAAGCTTCGGTAGAGGGGCTTCCTCCCTCTCTTGAGAGTTCTTGGCATCGGAGATGAGTCTTAAGGGCGCGAGAGTGGAAGGCTGGGGAGGGAGAGACGTAAACATCGGGAAATTGGAACAAACGGTAAAGTACAACATCATCCACGCACCCACACGTACTGCAGGTATTTTGTGTGTGTGTGTGTGTGTGTGTGTGTGTGTGTGTGTGTGTGTGTGTGTGTGTGTACGTGTGAAGGTCAGCGACCAGCGCGTAAACGTATAATTATATAGAAGTCACTCAGTGATGTGCGGACCCTCCTGACCTTCGATCGATAGGTGATACGGAGCGTCGGGACGCTCAACTCGCCGATGCTTTTGCCTTCCCTTTTACTTTCTCATACACGTAAGTATATGTATGTGCAGGCACCGGCATTTGTCTTTCCTGCAGCGCTTCTTCGTCCGCGACCTTTGGACCTTCTTCTGCACGGCGAGTCAAAGATTTCTCTCTCTCTCTCTCTTCCTCCCTCGTTAATTAGCTGCGCTGCGGTTGCTCCTCCACTTTTAGTCGAACACCGATGGAAGGATCGTCATCTTGCCTCGCTACGGTTATCCCGAGACGAGTCCTCGACGTCGTGACTTGCCCTTTTTTTTTTTTTTTTTTTTTTTTGCTGTCGCTCCACTCCCACGACATTAATCCTCCCATTTTCGGCTATCACGTCCCGAGACAGACTTTGAAAAAATATTGTCACCCAGTATATATACGGGATCTTCGTAGATCATTAGCCCCTATCATTGCTATTCGAGAAAGAGTGATTAGAGCCCGAGTTTCGGGAGGCCCTCCTTTGTACATTTTACAAATACCGAATGTTTTTTTTTTTGTTTTTTTTTTTTTTATTAAATTCAACGATTTGTGGAAAAACTAAGGGTAAAAAGGGTCTCATAAAACAGTGTTTTTTCATTTCGCCCACGAAATTTCAAATAAACAGAATAATATTTTTCCTTTTTTCAGTATATTTTCTCATTGCATTTTAAAAGTATTTGATTGACACCTGGTAAAAAAAATGAAAAATGATAAATCATATAAATTTGTAGCGATGACGATGAAAAATACAATATAAATGTATATAAGACGGTGTATATGTATGTAAGCAACGGTTGGTCGTTTGTTGTTGTTGTAGTGCAGCAGCAAGTGCTTCACGGGTGGGCCCCGCAAGAGCAACGAGTCCCAGTGCCCGATGCTCCAAGTGTACAGCGCGGAAAAGCAGCCGATCCTCCCGCACCAGGACAGACAACAAGCGAGCCAAACGTCGACTACGCCACCCCCGGGGCCGCACCAGCTCCTACTGCGGGACTGTAGGCTACCCCCGGGCAGCAGGTACCGGCGCCAGGCCCCCAACACCGGGAGCACGAGCAGCGACTCGCCCCACAAGCAAAAACGCCTCCGGCTCCAATTGGCCAAGGAGCGCAAGGCCAGCACCACCCTCGGCATCATCATGAGCGCGTTCACCGTGTGCTGGCTGCCCTTCTTCGTCCTCACGGTCGTGCGCATCTGCCTCAAGGACCCCGACGCCATACCCGGCTCTCTATCCTCGGTCTTCCTCTGGCTCGGCTACTGCAACAGCCTCCTCAACCCCGTGATCTACGCCACCCTCAACCGGGACTTTCGCAAGCCCTTCCGGGAGATACTCTACTTCAGGTGCGGCAACCTCCAGCACATGATGCGCGAGGAGTTCTACCAGAGCCAGTACGGCGACCCCGTCAACAATTACCTCGCCCGCCCGAACAGCGAGTCAATGGGCCCGGGTACCGCGGTGGTCACGCCCGGTGCGGTGCACGTGCACTCGGGACCGGCCCAACACCGGCACAAGCCCCTCGACGACGATGCCGCTTCATGCGTCACCGCGTACCCCAGTGCCGACTACGTGGACGACGAAGACGAGCAGATAGAGGAGGAGGAGGAGGAGGTTCCGGGCCTCGCGTCGCCCCCACCTCTCCAGACGGATCCGCCCAGCGAGAGCTTCCTGTGATCGCCCCACTGCGCGCTCCACCACCACCAACACCTACAACTAACGCGTACCTAATGATAATAATCATTACAATCATCATATACATATATATATATATACTACATGGGTTCGGTTACTACATAATATATATATATCCATCATCATCATTCGAGAAGATTATACGTTATTGAGTTCGATTCGGTGATTAATATATTTTTATTATTGGTATCGACAGATGAGCGTTTCTACATCCATATACGTACACGAGTCCATACGAATAATATATACATTGGTACAATTATCATGCCCACACACGTAATAGTAGATGGTATAGATAGAGGCAAGTATAGGTACGTGGGTGTGTGTATCGATCGTGTCATGATTTCGCGGATGTATAGGTACATACGTATGAGTTTTTTGTAGAGAAGATTAGCAAAATGTATAAACGTGTATTCATAGCGTGACTATGTATTATTGTTTAAAAGCAAAGCGTTGGAAGGGTATTTTCGACACTATAAATGGTGCTTGTAGTATCGATCGATGATGGTACAATGATTTCGTTTTTACGATTTGTTCGGCGAACCAGCCAATATCGACAATTATTTGATTGAGGCGTGCAACCATCCGTTCGAGCGTATATTTATATACGATTATGTTGAAAATTAAATTAATTTCTAATCTGTGCGCGCAGCTCGAAATGTAAAGCTTCGGGAAGGAAAAGGAATCACGGAACGTGTGGACGATAACAGTGCGGTTTCGATGCTTTGTATCGCAAATTGTGGTCAAACGTGTAGATATATACGTTATACCAAGGAAATACGCGCGAAACAAATACAGGATCGTGCAAGATTGTAACCGTCTCGATGACATTCAAAATATAACAATAATCATAACACACGTGTATAGGTACATATATATATATAAAGTTCTTTGAAACGTTTTTTACGAGAGCAGCGGCAAAATGTGTAACAATTAAGTCGGTGTAGGGTATGACGCAAGTACATTTACGTATACTACATGCATGTGATTGTCTCTCTTTCGTAGATGCGATTGGCGTAGGCGGGGGATAAAAAAAAAAAATCTAAATGAAAAGAAAATAGTGTGTATCTCTTGGACAGGTGTGCAGTGTAACGAAATGCCGTTGAGGTAAACGAAGCGAAAACCCGTGGGCCGCGTAACTAGAAAGGTTAATTGATGTGCGTGGCTGATGAATGGACAAGTAAGTCGTTGAAAAATCTCCCGCGCGAACTTGGTTACGGCGGATGCGAAAAAAAAGCTTTTTGATTGATTGCCTACTCGTGTACTTCATTCCGAGCTCCACCCCGTTGACTCGGTATTCGGGATGTCCCGAAATAGCTTGGATTCTTCATGAAGCACATTTCTGTAGTCGCTGTGTGAATTTTTTTTTTTCTTCTTTTCCTTCCATCGCAGCAAAACTTCTTGTGACACACTTTTTTTTTTTTTTCTTTTTTTTTTCCTCTTCGTACCGAGAAACTACTTTTAATTTTCCTTGGAAATACCGAGTGATTCGCGACGTTTTTACATCACTCAGCTCATCGCAAAAAGGTAATGGGGTTCCCCTGCATCCTTCTTTTACAAATGATCCACTTGAGGACTACTCACAAGTTTTTGTAAACAAAAAAAGAAATTCCTATGAACCGAATGGTTCAAAAGGGTCCGAAGAAGAAGAGAAAAATTGGCTCACAAGGCGATCTCGTGGAAAAAAAAAAAAAAACATCCGAACAATTTCTAAACTCCAAAAAAGAGCTTTTTTTTCCCCCGCGCACCACCCCTCTCTCGACAAGGTACAACTCGGCGCGTACGGTCGCTTTTGTACAAAATAATGCTCACTCGAAATTCCAGAGCGCTTCGATATGCGCAGCGAGGGAGAAACACATGATACCCGCATCGAGTGCTCCATTTGTCGTACACCAATGTCGCTCTTGCCGGGCATTCGCGCGCACTCCCTGCCACACCGGGACAAAAGCGCGTTTGTTTATTCTTCCTCCTCCTCCTGCCACGGCTTGTGTCGCTTGGCAAAACGCTCCAAACGAGTTATCGCGAAAAACAAGACCAAAAAGTACACCCCTCCCCCCCCCCCCCCCCCCCCCCCCCCCCCCAAACCACATCCGCCGACCACTAGGCCTAATGTGTACGAACGCAAAGCTCGAAAGCTCCGTCACTGTTTTTAACTGTCCCTCTTTTCAGGCACCTGTACGACTTTTGTTCTTTTTTTCCCTCCTTACCGATTCCCAAGACCCATACACCGTGTTCCCTTTCCCCCATCAATGCCCGTGCAAAACTCGAGTGCCGCCATGGTACGAGTGATTTCTGCGCGAGGACCTCCGAGGAAAGAGGGTTTTTCCATCCCCAAAGCGCGACGATAACAGGGGTGGGGGGGGAAGATGAAAAAAATCACTCACGAGTTATACCCATGCGAAGCAACACCTCGGGCCATATCGATTTTTCGGGCTCATTCTCCGATTTTCCATCGGCCTTTCTACATGTATACGTATCACACGCACGGCCATCCCTCTCCTCCGGTACGTGTACTTATATATACCCAAGTCGCGAACTAACGCGGCGAGACGGTGGAGGAGAGGCGATTGCGCGTGGAGAGAGTCGGGTTTATTGATAATAGTAGAGTGACGCGCCGGAATTCGCTGTGGTACGCGGTGCGTATCGATTGGTCGTGCACGCGCGCCTGGGAATACAAAGGAAAAACAAAAAAAAAAAAGACAAATTGAGCCAACAAATGAGCGGGGAGGGAGACAGAGAGTAGATCCCCAGGGACGCCAACGGGCTATACCACTACGTTGCCGCGTATGCACATATTATTATTAATTGTTTCGACGCCGAGTGAGATGGACTGCACTTTCGTTCGTGATAACACTCGCGCGGTCGTCGCTTCTCCTCCGCGCGAAACTGCAACTCGATCCGTTATACACGCGAGTGTGGTCGTCGCACCGCTAAACTCTAATATGACTACCTTGTTCTTTTGTACAAGAGTTTACATCATCCCTCGAGTTGTTTCCCGTTGTTTTCCGTTGTAATCACACGCGCAGGGATCATTTTTTTTTTTTTTTTTTTTTTTTTTAGTCGTCATTCGTCTGTTGGAGTTTATTATTCCTGTTACAATGATTATTGTTATTGCCATGTGTGCATCTCTATGAAGATTGTTACGAAGAATGACTTTTACCATAACGACGCGTGAAAGAAAAAAAAATTTATTGTATCTCCGTAATTGTAAGTTTAAGGGTAAAAAAAAAAAATATATATATATATATTGAATAAATTGTACGAGTGCGGAGGTAAAGCGTGTGCAGATCTTTTGAGTTTCATTTATTTCTCGATCAATCATGTATAGAACAGTAGTTTGGGCGAAGTGGTAAAAGCGCGCTAAAGTATGATGTACTGTTTACTTATACTCCGTAGAACATCGTATTTTTTGGAGCCGGCGTTAAAAGTTGCTCAACAGACCGTACACTTGATAATGAGCTAATTAATAATAAAAAAAAGTAGCTAATATATAAGAGTTTGATGTTCCTCGCGAGAGAGTAGCTATGTATGATAGAATACACCTAAATCTAACGTATGTACATGATGGTCGTCTTGGATTTCTCTCGGGGAAAAAAAGTAGGGCGTCTTTTTACTTTATGGGAGTAGCGATACACATCGACACAAAAAAAGACCAAGCGTCGCTTGCTGCGGTTCACCACGTCGGCTGGACTACTGAATGAGGAGGCGAAAAATACAAAAGCGTAACAGTGACGAGAAATAAATGAATAGGCAAACATGAGGGAAAAAAAAAAAAAAAAAAAACTAATGTACGTTGTATCAATATATTGTGTGTATTCAAGAAAAACTTGACACGCCCAAAGCAAACGAGCGATCTGTACATGTGTGCGAGACAATCTGGTGTACAACAAATAAATCTAGAGCAGAGGGAGAGAGGCTCCGAGGGTGTACGATATTATTATATAGAAACGAATAGCAAAAAAAAATTAATGTAGTTCAATATGATCGTTATTAACAAAAATAAAGGTTAAATACCAAAGACTTATACAAAAAGAAAAAAAAAAATAGTATATAAATATAAGTATATTACGAGCAAGTTATTAGAATATGTGTCATAAAGAGAAAAAAAAAAGAAAAAAAAAAGAAAAAAAAAAGTAAATAAATAAAGTGACAAACAGTGGTATATGAGTAAATCCTCGGTCTATTCTGTAGATGAGTTTTTAGCGACACGATAATCGCTACTTTGCAATAACTATATATTCATCGTTACGAAAATTGCACGCCAATATATTGTACATGTTATACTTTGTTAAGCGTTACTTGGTTTGTTAGTCGTGTGTCATCAGTAAGTACATGAAAACAGACACAAATGAGTTTTTGGAGCGAATTTCAAAAGGAAGATTATCCTTGCTCGAGATCTGGTCAGTTTTCATGCTGCATATATACTTACTGAAAACCATTTCACCCTCTCATCCTTTTTTTTTTTTTTTTTTCAAACGAATAATTGCTTAGTCACCGAGTCACGTGACTGTGTATGAAAAATCGATAGCTGTCGCAAGCTTGGCTAAAGCTTATCATCGTTAACTTTTATTCAAGTTAACGTCCAAGTTTTTTTTTTTCATTTTTTTTCATTTTTTTTTTAAAAAAAAAAAAAAAAAAAATTGCCATCGCAGCGAATTTGCGAACAATTTCGCGGACTCTTAATCATTCATACGTATATACACGTACATGTGAAAGCTTTAACCACGCTGTACATATTTCGAAACAAAAGCGGCTTAACGCGCGATGCTTCGTTTGGTAATTTAAGTTCACCGACGCAATTTGACGTTTTACGCGACGAGCTAATGCGATGCAATTATACGAGTACATTACATACCTGTGTATGAAAAAAAAGAAAAAATAAAAAAATAAAAAAATAAAAAAAAACGATTCATTCGATAAGGCCCTTCACTGTTGCGATTGTAAATTATATTCTCCGTTTCGTTCGGAATTGTTTTGTTACCGATTTTACGACGATGTTGTACTTTATTAGGTTTGAATGATTTGAAATACGAACGTGAAATAAAGAAAATTTCTTCGAGTCATCATTACTCATTTGTACATGTATCGGCAACCCACACAACCCAATGTTATTACCTCTGTTATTAAAAAATGTGACGTCACGGCGAAATTGAGAAATTTTTAGAAATTACAACACGAAATTTCAGAAAAAAAAAAAAACACTCGAGTCTGAGTTTTCGCTCGAAGAGGGAAAACACCCATGTACTTAATATACGTGCTCCCATAATTTAATCAATTTACACGATCTTTCGCTGTTCGGAGCGACAAGTATCCTATACACACGGATGATTTATCGGTGCCAATATAATCGTACATTTGTCAGTCGCCTTTCCAACTTGAGAAAGTAAGCAAAAGTTGGCAAGAAAGCCACACACTCACACCGTATGTGATACTCGATGTGGTCGGTTCGCACGTACCCTCGGGCTGACAGAGCAAGGAAAGGTAAAAAGTAAAAATGACCTCTCCGTCACCCCTTACACGCTAAAGAAGATTGATACTCGCGCCCCTGAGTAAGTATTCCAGCCTTAATCGGGGCGTCGCCGAGCGACAAGGATCGACGTTTTCCTCCAATTGATGTGGTTTTGATTTGCCACCCACTACGGATCATCGTCGAGTGAGCATATACATATATGTATATAAAGTACATGTATACGTGCTCTCGATTCTTCGAACTCTGCAGGGCTCAAATGGCATTCTCTCCCTTCCGGCCATCGTGCACGCACGCACTATCGGTACACTCGATCGGTCGCGATCTCCAGATTCCTACGGAGCAGTATAGGCACATACATACACAATCAAGAGCAATCAGTCGGAGCGCGAGTCGGGTCATTTCATCGTGATCGTATATCTATATGCACAGTGTTAAATTTATTTGTGTGTGTGTGTGTGTGTGTGTGTGTGTGTGTGTGTGTATGTATATACACCGAGAGAAAAATACAATAAAAATTACTGTGGTAGAATGGTAATCTGGTAGTGTTCGGTCGTGTCTGGAGACTCTTTACTATTGGAACAATCATTTTTAGTGTTCAGAATGATAATTTTTGTTGTAAGTATAGTGTGATTTTTACTGTTTGTACAATATAAATTACTATCCGGAATAATGGTAAAAATTAGGTTGGCCAAAGTAAAAAGTCTCTATTATTTTGATTATATTTTTCTCTCAGTGTATATGCGTATGTTACGTATTTTCAAATTATTTTGAATTTTATCACTATGCTTACTTGTGACAAATGTTGTTATTCAGCGTCATTAAAAAAAAAGAAAGAGGAAAAAAGTGATTTAAATATATATATATATTTCTTCCAATATTTTATCGTGTAATTTTAACTCTTCCTGCAAAAGAAAATTTCAATTTCAAATGTTCAAAAAAATTTATAGAACAATTGTACCCAAGTCCGCAAGAACGATTTGTCAAATTTTGTCCAACGCGAGATAAAATTATAACAGGGTGATCGTGTACTTGCAGTGGACTTGCATTACAGAGGCATATACGTAGGTGGAAAAAAAGTCTATCGTGTGTAAAACGTCACGGGTCACGAACGCGGGTGACAATAGTCGAAGAGCCTGTATATGCAGCCACCAACGATTAGGAAAAAAAAAAAAAAAAAAAAACACGCGAGCTTGGATGTACGATGGTAAAAAATACGTACGGCAGGTGTGCCTAATTAACATCGCGCCGCGTCGCCAAATCGCACCCGCGAAATCTCGGTGCTTTTCGAAGAAAATTTACGAGCGCTCGCGTGACGCCCCCTTTACGCTCTCCCCGCCTGCGTATGCGTATTTGCATTGCGGCCTCTCGTTTTCTTCTTCGTACAGCTCAACGCCCACCGCCTCCTTCTCCTCCTCCTCCTCCTCTGCATTATTCATTCGCGTCCGAGCATAGAAATGATAAACTATTCAAACGTCAGGAGCTATACGAATATACGTATGTAGATCATTTATACATGTGGTGTGCGTTTACCACCCCCCCAACCGTGTCAGTACATGGAAAACCAAAAACTTCAAAAAGCCGCGCTTTCGTTATTTAATTAATTATATATTCAAATATGATGGAGCCTTCATTGTGTGTTGGCTTATTATACATCCATCGTAATACGTGATGAGCAGTATGGAGATGGTAGAAAAATAATACAGAAGCGATGTACACATACGATATAACGCATTGTGTTGTTTTGCCTTGCCCTGGAGAGTTTCGATAGATTTCGCCCGATGTACAACGGCCACTTCAACGAGTACAGGAGCAGTGCAAAACAACGGATTACAGTTGTTACACTGTACGCGCACATTATTTTGGTGGTCACACTTTTTATTTTGTTGTATGATTTTTTTTTTTTTTTTTTTTATGTGCAAAAAAAAAGTTTACTTTTCAATTTACATTATTATTTTAATATATCGTGGATAATTTGTGGCATGTTGGGGAAATTTGTTTCGTCCTTTTTTTCTCGGTAGACCGATATGAAGGGTCTTTTTGCAAAGTATGTGGGATTTCAAATTTTTTGATTTTTTTTCCCCCATCGAACTTTTATTGCTGTCAACTATGGTTTATTCTACGATCAGCCGTTTGACTTCTGAACAGCCGAAAAAAGGAAGCAACGTGAATGTGTACGTTTACTTTAGTTGAGGATGGTATTTTAATTTACGACCTTGTGAAATTTTTAAATTAAGTGACTGTGAAGCTGAACGACCCGTGTTTATCACTTTTACGCTGTCACATGGGTGAAGTTGATGTGGCACGAAAAAAAAAAAAAAAAAATTCGTGTCCGTGCATGACGCGAAAGGGTGACAATTTTTGCGCGATTCATCATAGGTAACGGGGACGCCGGCGGCCAACTGTTGTCCCTTGTGCTTCGAGTAATTTTCTCACGTAAAATCGAAAGAAAACATTTGAAGAGTATAGGTAACACCAAAAAAGTTTGCTTGACAGTGAGAAAGCGCTTGGAGGCTTAATTGAAAATCATATGGATGTATCGAGCAATATCGTAACTTTTTGCTCAAATTATAGCGTCTCGTGTTGCTGAGTATATACGTACACGTGAAAATTATTATTTTAAAAATTTGTTTTTCTTCTTTCCCTTGCATATTTAATATTAACGTTATTAAAAATGAGTGCCCTCGAGATAACTTTGTTTAATGAAAAATTAAGATTTAATTTTTTTTAACTGATCTAATTAAAATTATAATAAAGCACAAAGCGTATACACACTTATATATATATATGCAAAACTCGCATGGCTTGTTTCATTGCCGGAGCTTAAATTTTAATTACAACTGCAGGATGCAGGTGTTTTGTCGGTTGGAAATACACTAAGAAAAAAAAAAAAATAAATTAAAAAATGAACGTACGTGTAATTAAATATTCAAGCTCTAGTAATCAAGTAAATCATATTTTTTATACGCACGTGCCTCATTATCATTAAAAAGTATTTATATTACGTGAGTTTATATCAATAGAAAAAAAATTTAATCGCCGTATCAGGTGACAGCATGAAAATTTAAAGCTTTTGTTATACTTTTGAAAGCCTATCTCCGTGTACCTCGATAAAATCAGCAAATTGAATAAAAAATATAATATTGCTGGGCCATACTGACGATGAATATTGAGCACCCCCTGGGGTATACGAAAACTCTTTCCAGTTGACAATTTGGGAAATTCTTGTTTTGCCCGAAAATGGACGTGTATAGATGTGCTGATACAGTGAAAATTCAATCAGTCAAAAAATACGTAGGCGGAATTTCTATCAGTTTGAATTATGAGTGCGTATTGTGTGCTCCTCCTCTTGTGTGGGTGGGTGGAACGACAAAATGTATTTTTGAATTGAAACAAGAGAATACACATGATAAATTACTCGTACGAAATGTTTTAACGATAAAACGAACTTTTAATTCTTTTATCTGTAAGTAAGTGAATACTCGACGAGCATATACATTTCAATTTTTGGCAACGATAAAACCAAACTGTGAATTTTTTCATTTAACTTTTCACAGGTACGTGATAAAAAGCGTACTTGATCACTAATCATCATCTTGAAAAATTCAGTTTGATGACACATTCACTTGTCATCAGACATAAAAATGGTTTGAATAAAAATACATTTTTTGGGAATACGATACTTTTGTTCTGGAAAAAAAAAAAATGATATTACACCACCTGCGCAAGTGAATATGCCAAAACAGACTGTGACAACATTTGCTGATAAAAAAAAGTATTCGTGGTGCGGATTGACATGCTTTTGTTAAATTGTTGTTGCTATCTAAATAATCTACATCGCCTTGGAGTTGCTCGGAACTGTTCAAATACACCTATACGTGTTAAATCTCTAAAGTAACCGAACAGTATATGGGCCACTGTATACCTATGGGGCGAAATCTTTAATCTTAACAATATTAGATACGCGGGTGGCAGCACTGGCCGGAAGAAATTTGAAGAATGATTTGCGCGCTTGAATTTGAGCTTATTCTACTTGTAATACTTGAATTACGTAAACGCTGTTTGAAAAAAAAGGTCACACATTAGGCGGAAGTAATGGTAATTTTTTAGATCCTTTGGTTATTAGTCACACATCGCAACGATTAACCATACATATTATGAAAACGATCTTTTTTTTTCTATGTATGATCTGGGACATTAAATATTATGGTTCCTGGAGCTTGTGGTGCGTAAGTTTACTATTTTAGACCTAATCTTAGGTCCAAATCGATATATTTATATACTTTCGTATACTTATGATGGAAACATTGCGTTTTTCAATAGTAACCTGAAATATCTTTAGTTGAATCGTTGAGAAAAAAAAATTTCGAAATGTCTTAAAACATTTTTTGAGAGATCAAGTTTATACGTTCTAAACTTCATATCATTAGTTGAAAAATAAATTTTTGTAACAATTTCGTTTCAACAGTCAATGTGTTGATAACTATCTGAAATTATTGTTTATAACATTGAGTTGTAAAAAATTAAATGGAAAACACTTACCTCGTTATAAACAAAAATAAAAACGTGAAATATTGGGCCTTAAACAATAAAAAAAGTACCTAGTTATACCTCATTTCCTCGAGGAAAATCGCGAAAACATTCTCACCAAAGGATGCATTCAGATAGCATACTGAGACTACGGTAGTGCCAGGACTGCCAGGACAGGAGTACCATCATCAGGAGAAGTTCACTATAGTTCATACACACACACATGGCGACGGAATACACGTGGGTTCTTACATTTGAGTTTGAACTTTTGAGGTTGAAAATTTACTTGCTGAACTTACCTATAGATTACACTTACCTCTTATAACTATAAACGCGTGTGCGATAATTTATCATAAATTAAGTCTTCATCTGCAGTTTTTGATTCCGCGCATCAGGTCCAGATCCCTGCATATGGTACTTACCAGAAGCAAAGAAAAGAGTGTGGTGGGTGTAGTGTGGTCGTCGGCAACCTCGTGTACCAAGCCTGCGCAGACGACCGCAAGAAGTATCGGTGGCGCGCGCGCAATAGCCGACACTTCCATTTTCCTGTGCAGGCTCGCTCTCTCGACCCAACGGCCGAGCACGTGTCTCTTTGTTGGCTGCACAAGCCGGTTTGATTCCCATCTCAGGACGTACCTGAACGAGCAGCCATGAATCCCGAGAAGTTGAAGAAACTCCAGGCGCAGGTCCGGATCGGAGGCAAGGGTACCCCACGCCGTAAGAAGAAGGTGAGTGGGCGAACCGCTCGTCGATTTCCCTCTAGCTGGACTATACCTACTCTCGTCTACCTGCCCAACTTTTTGCGCGCCGCAATTCTCTGAACCCACCTCGTGTGTTTTTCATTTATTAGATTCGTTGGCCACCTACCTCTGGTATATTTCTCCTTGATCCCCTATCAAAGTACTCGTTCTTTTTTTTATAAAATGTACATGTGGTGTGGTACCCTTCGTACCTAGCCTAGTTGGGTTGATCTATTTTTACTCCGGCTTGCTTCGTGCACACAGCATGGGGGTCCGCTCGAAATCCGCTCCTTCTTATTGGGCTTGTACACTGTATGAGCTCATAGTTAACCTCCCAAAATGTTCAAACTCTACCATGTTATTATTATTATTATGCATCCTTAGCCAACAATTGAGGTATTACACCGAATGTCCTTTTGTTTTATAAATTTTAATCTTCCTTTATTCACGTTTCAAGGTCGTGCACGCAACGGCTGCTGCAGATGACAAGAAGCTACAGAGCTCCTTGAAAAAGCTGGCAGTCAACACAATACCGGGCATAGAGGAAGTTAACATGATAAAGGATGATGGAACTGTCATTCACTTCAATAATCCCAAAACACAGGCTAGTCTTACTGCAAATACGTTTGCCATCACCGGCCATGGTGAGAACAAACAAATCACAGAAATGCTTCCCAGTATTTTGAGCCAGCTTGGACCCGAAGGTCTCACGCAACTCAAGAGATTGGCCAGCTCGGTAACTGGCAGTGCAGCCAACAAAGCTGCTCTAGAAGAAGACGATGAAGTGCCTGACTTGGTAGAAAACTTTGACGAGGCTAGCAAAGAAGAGGTACTTTTTTTATATTTATTATTTACTTATGATGACCAATTCTGTGGCAAATGCATTTTAATTCATACTTCTCAAGACTTGTTTTAAATAAGTAACTTGCAATACTAAAATCCACCATATTTTTGTTCAGGTTGTATCAAAGAAGACGTCTGCTAGTGAAGCTAGTGCAACTGCAGGGAAAAAAGAAGCTGCTAAGGCACCTGAAGAATCAAAAGAGACTCCTCCTGCTAAGCAAGGAGCTTAATGACGAGGAATGAGTGGGTATTTTTTTAAACACAATTTTGTAATTTTTTTTCTTATAATCTTTTGATAAAAATATTTTATTATTTTCAGAATTTTGAGAGACGTAGCTCTCGACAATGAGCTTCGAAGTTTTCAATTATATGAGTAAAGAAAGATTACTTGTAATCTACAATCAAGAACACAATACCTGAATCGTTTACATTGCAAATATGGAGGATGATCGAGAATATTGCTTGTAAAATTTTATTATGAAGAACGATGATTGTAACAAAAAACTTAAAAATCAGAAATTTGGTGGATAATGTTTCGCTTCAGATCTATATTCATCAAATTATTTTTTATATTATAATCATTTAAAAGAAAACTTCTTTCGTCTGGCATATTTCATTCCCTTTGAGGCATTTTTCGAAAATTAATTGTATAAAAGCTACTTAATCAACCTACTTTAAATTAAACATACAAGGACACTTGCTAAATAAAATGCAAACTTAGCCATACATGTATAATAAACTATAGAATGTGATGAGAATCCGAAAGTACACTTTGTCACGTGATTATCAACAATCACTGTTGAAGAAATCTATTATTAGTCAAAAAAAAAGAAAAAAAATAGTTATTCTATAAAAGTTAGTGACACAATCACCCCTTTTGTTATATGAGTAACTCTAATTTTTAAAACTTGGTGAATTAATTTTTAAAAATTTAAAAAAAAAAAAAAAAAAGGAAAAAATGAATTATGTATTCACCTTAGCTGATTTTATGTAAAAAGTTTACTTTTAATAAATTACTTTGAATACATATTTTTAGTCTTGCTTACATCCATTTAATACATGAAACCTTTGAGGATCGCTTTTTTTGAATTCTTGTTTACATGTAGTACATTGATTTTTTTCAAGTGCTAACAAAGCTTTTCTACATATAACATGTTTGCAAGGTAATTGATACAATATACAATTTGAACAACATCCACAAGTTGGCGTGTTAAAAATTTGAATTTTCGAATATAATTTGTCCTCAATTTCCGCATTTCTTTTTTTTATATCTTCTTGGCTTGTACCTTCTTTAGCCACTGAAGTCATTTTTAATGGTTTTATTAAGGAATTTCTACTGCTAAGTGAAATAACTGGTAATAGATGCCTGGATTTTTTAACGCAAGAATTATCTTCTTGATTTGATAATGTCCTTTTCAACAAGTCTCTATTTATAATATTAACAGGACTGTTATTTACACAACCTATCACTTTTATAGTTTCATTTTGCTCTGTCATTTTACAGCCTAAAACTCGAGGTAATTTTTTAACTTCTTCCGTGTTGCTGTTTTCAAGAAGAAATTTGTCGATTCTCTCTTTTAACGGAAAAGCAGCTATTGGTTTACGAACATCACTAAAGGGAATTCCTGTAAATGGATCACTGACAGGCCTTCCCCAGACTGCTTCATTATGCCCGTGTTTTTCCAAAGTCTTTTGATCAATTATCTTACCACTTGGTAAAATAACGGGCTGAGTCATTATATCCAAGGTTATTGGATCCAAAAAATCTTCAGGTACCTCGAGATTTTTGTCCAACTGTTCACTTGAAAGAATTGTCGATTTCTATTAAACTGACAAAAAAAGTAAATAAAATAATGCATTAAAACAAACGCTGCTTACCATTTCTTGTCTTGGTCTTTATCACAGATTTTTGTCGTTGGAGTACTTTTAAAGATTTTTGTACTATCAATCGGTTTATTTTTATTTGCCAAGAGTGCCATGACATTCATCACCACATCTCTGGGGCACTTGGGAGAAACCAAGCCCCATATTTCAATTTTACTCACAGCAGGTACTGAGTTGTCAGTCTTCAATATACTCAAACGTAAGGTACTCACATAATTTGTAACAGCTAAAGACTTTATGTAACGTTCGGCAAAAGTTGATGGCTTTTGTACTTCGGCATAGTGTGAAATATCCTTTCTGAAGAAAAAAATGCCTGACTCTTGTTTCTGTAAAAATCCAGTTGAAACATCAACGAATGGTTGATTACTGGCATCAGCTGATTTGACAGACAACTTGAAACCAGACGACTTTTGTGCTCCAACTTGTGGCCACACAAGCACATGACTCAGTTTAATGTTGCAAATAAAATTAAAGTCAATTGTAATCGGAGGTCTGATGCACGAATAAGCTAAGAATCCTTTCTCAGAGTCATTACTCGTCAAATTGGTTACTTCATAACCTTCAGTGCTAACTGCACTGCACGTCACATCTGTTCGCAAAACTTTGTCGCAAAAATTAACGAGCATTATTTCACAATCGCCAAGTAAGTATAATCAACAATCTTTCAAGACACTGTCACGATTCAAAAGTTTCAAGTCACACTTGAACGACACACGCAACTTAGAACTCGAATCATGATGGAGCAAGTGTGTGTGTATCTATTGTTAATCGAGTTTACACACTCATACAGAGGTACAAGCAAAACAAAATTGTGTTTTGATCGTTGTGTAAGTAAAACATAAATGGACGTAAGTAAAAGCACGTATAGTAGGTATTTTAATTTCTTAATATTAAACTTTCCTGTCAAAGTTGGCTAGGTTTGAAAAATCGTAAAACTTTGAAGAAATGTATGGCAAGAATTTTTTACTCAATTTTTTAATAAGGAAAATCACATTAATGTGAAAAAAAAATCCTATTAATCAGTGGATTGAAGCGCACTCTTCATATAAAACTGTGTTTTAAAAAAATTAAAAACTTGTTTGAATAACGATGGGTAAAGTTAAATAAAATAGAAAAACTTTGATTATTTTTTAGCACAACTTGAAAGTTGGTGCTATATTTATTATACCAATGGATATTACGCCTCAGTTTATACACGACAAAAGCTCACTGTCATTGATAATAAGAAACAAGTAGTTTTTTTTCCCAACTTAAAAATGGAGCAAAGCTATATAAAAAGACAAAGTTAAGAGCCAATCTCTTGTTCATTTTATGTTTCAAGAATTTGGCTTAAAACAATTTTAAATTTTATTTCTCCTCTTCAACCTCATTGTCTTCATCTCCTTCATTATTTTTATATTTATCAGTAGATTTTGATCAAGTCGAAGCAATATAATTGCCGGCTGCGACAACTTATTATTCGTAATAAAGTCTTGTATAGGACAAAAGTAGGAAATCCCAAACTCACTCTTGTTTTTACTACTTTCTGCTAAGCTAAAATCAAGCTTTTTTTTTTTGATTTCACTGCAGGTTTTTATTAAAATGTATGTCATCAGTTTTTCAGCTGTACAAAAATTAGATCAATACCATGCAATAACCATCAGGATTCCCGACTTTTATTCATATTTTATACATATTGTCGCTGCTGGTAAAAATACTGACTTTTAGATTTCCACGTCTCAGATATACTTAGAATATTGTCATTTTGTCTTTCTCAACTATTTTTTTTTTTTTTTTTTTTTTTCAACTATTTCAGATTCATACAAACTATAAGATCAATTCCTACTTAGTTATTTGAGCCAAACAAGAAAAGTTGTATGACCCTGTCCTTAAGCTTCTTCAATGTCTTTCTTACACAGCGTTCAAATTACTTTCCGACCATAAAATCACATATATAAATATATATGTGCGCCTCAGTTCTGTTCTGTATAAATTCTGCTATCTACATATTTAATTTATTGTGCAACACTTGACGTTGTACAAAAACTAAATAGCCAGTGACAATTTGTATAGAAAAATGAGTAAATTATTGTACGAAATTGATTATCCTTAAATATACTAAAGTGTACGGGAATCTATAGTCATTTTCTGTCTTGTGGATCTGTAAGTTTCTGTACATTTTTATACATATCATAAAAAACGTATTTACGCAAAATCGGCATCCATCACCAGCAACGACCACAGTATATCTAACTTTTTACAATTGCACGCTCACGTGTATTTAAATGTTGCATAAATTATTAATTATGAAGTGTAAAAATGTAATGAGAACCTATGAGAACTTATTGATACATTTTATAATGATGTTTAAATACTTTTCAACATCTACCCTCAATAAATCAATGGCATGAACAACACGGCCACAATGATGTTTGATCATGACGATACACAGAATGTGATAAATACTCAAGTATTTACACACCATAAACGTTATCACGATAAAATTTACAAAAGTTAATGAAAAAGAAAAGTAACAAAGGAAAAACGAAAAAGGCTTTTATGTTGAAAAATGCTATTTTTAATGAGAAAAAAATACACCTTCCATTTATGATTGGACCCAACATTAGAAACAGTCAACCTAATGACCACATGGCTTTAATATACATTCAAGGTAATTACACAAAACTAATATAAACTGTTTGCGCGCTCGCAGCAACCGTTTTATCAGACCTCCAAGTCAGTCCTCCACTCTTATTACAAATCTCATTACATTCTTACAATAATAGTTTAGCCGCAGACTTTATCTTCTTTCTTTTAACGTTTTACGTAGCACGTATTTATATATATTTATATCCTAAGACCAATACACACGTGCGTATTTTTTTTATTTTTTTATTTTTTACCATTATACTTCTGAATTTCGTCAGCTTTAACTATACTGAGCCTTACATAGAGGAGCAATAGGAAAATGAAGCGTACGATTACTCTCTTATTAGAACGAAGAGAGTATCGTCAGTTAGATACAAGATGTGTAGATATAATCATAAAAAAGTTACACTCGTGATTTGCTATCACATTTATTTTACGTGATGTTTCTTTATTTGTTTATTTACTGATATTTATAATATTTGTACTAAAATAAAAACAAAAATAAAACGAGCTTCATTACCGACCAGCAACTTATTTATCAAGTTATAACTTGAAAAAAAAAAACCAACTATAACTCGACACCTTTTATTCACTCTTTCGTTGTCAAATTTATCATTACAACTCGTTTCTTCTTAGCTTCGCTTTACAAACACCTTGCATCGTAAAACATCATGAGAAAATAAAAAAATTCATCGTAGTATGAGGAGCCCGTGAAGAGTGACACGGCGGGAAGGAATAGAGGGGAGGTGGGTAAGAAGGGCTTCCCATTCTATGCGCTACATTCATTTTTTGAAACCGTACATTACAGTACGATTACATCGTTACACTTCTTTACTGTTAGTACATGGTAATTTTTATTTACCAAAGAATTAAATACCCACAATTCGTTTGATCATTTAAGAGAAATCGGTTATCCACGAGAAAAATTATTTTCAGACAGAAATTTTTACAATTTGTTAACTCTAATTGATTGATCGGCTGACCTTTCTATCAACATCAGATTAAAAATGTGAATATAATTTTTCTTGCGGTTAGCATTTCTACTATGCAACTGAGATTTCAGCAACGACAACCAGCAGAATAAATTCTAGAGCTTTTGACTGCAACACTACTATTAAAAGAAGTCCGGCATCTGCTTATTGCCTTTCCAAAGTATAAATGTAATAAGCACGCGTACACATGAGACAATAATACCTGATTATATGTATAAAATTGAAAAAAAAATTTTTAAATCAAGAACAATTTTAGCTGTAAGTAAAACACTTGCACTCCTTAAAAGTGATATGAAGTCCTTATAGATGGAATAAGAGTACAGAAAATAGGAATGACAAGAAAATGGGTCGAAAATTGGATATTTTTTTGATGTTGGGTGAATTGATTGAGGCACAACCGAAGGGAAACGAGGGCGAATTGAAGATATAATAAGAAATTAGGGAAGTAATAATAATAGTAAAAATAATAAGTAATGTCACCAGGAGCTTTGGGGGCGTAGGAGAGAAAAAGATAGGCGGATGTTAAGTATCGACGATTCACCTGAACGCGAAGGGGCTCGATGCCCCGCTTGTTAGGCTTATTCAAGTCTTTAGGTATCATCATCCCTACCTAGCTACAAAATTCCCCTGGTAATTGGCGCGCGCGCAAGAGGCGGTAAACGGTGGTTGTCGTTTCGTTTAAGCTAGCGGCACGGATTCCAGCGGATTTCTACTTTCTGTCGTCTTGATCGCACTCACGGCTAATGTGACCAGGCTTGTTGCAGATGTAACAGGTCTTGCCGCCACCCTCGGGGCAGTTACGTGCGATGTGTCCTATTTTGTGACAAGTGTAGCAGTTCTGCGTTGAGTAGCGTCCTCCGTCACTGCTCTCAGGACAGCTGCGGGCCATGTGTCCAGTTTTGTTACAGTTGTAACAGCTCATCTCGGGTCCCTGCTTGAAAACATATCGACACATTCGAAAATGTATTATTGCAACTCATTACCGATGTCACAACAATTTGTATTTTATAAAACATAAAATACAAAATCAAGTATTGCATCAAATCATACGTGGACTGTTTTGAAAATTACGTGAGTTAGCTTTTATATTACGTTATTTACGTGATTTACGAATTTAGCTGAGACATACAAATTCAGTAAAATAGGCGTGAAACAGATTCTTTTCAAAATCTTATGCACATTACGGAAACGAATAATTATTGACGTTGTACCAGATAATTAAGTCATTGTTTCAGTTTTGATGTCTTAAGGAGACGGTTACGAGTTTATTTACAGCGTGATGCCGTGGGCAATGAAGGTAATTTTTACCAGATTGAGAGTCAACATACAACACACGTAAACAAAAACGAACATATGTTGCATGATAAAAGAGAATTGAGTTGGGAATTACATAACGTGTTTTTCATATTTGTTTATTAAGAATAAGTGATTGAAAAATATCAAGTAAAGTCTAATTTGGGAAACAAATAATTGCGTACCTCTAAAGGGGGTGTTAATCATAGAAGTACAGATATGAAAGTAAAGAAACGCTTTTACGGATAGAAAACGCTTTAGATAAGACTGTTGAAATAAGTACAAGAAAAATATGAAAATTATACCTGCTGGCAGTCTTTAGCAATGTGTCCAACACCATTGCAACGGTAGCAGAGGTCCTGATCCTCCTTGCATTCGCGTGCAAAGTGTCCATACTGATTGCACTTGAAGCACTTTTCGCGGCCTCTGCTGAAGCCTTCACGACGGTCTCGCATACCAGTTCCACCGCCACCACCACCGCCGCCACCCTGGGGGCATTCTCTGGCGAAATGGCCCATTCTGTTACACTTGTAACAGGCGCTAGAACTCATTTTTTACGATTCTGCAAAAACACAAAAATACCAGTTTATGGTTAATAAATTGCGCTGCTTCTTTTAATAATAAATTACTAAGTATTACATAATTTTTTTTTGTTTAATTTGAGAATAAGGAGGCAAGTATAAAACATTTAAGCGGATTCCTACAATCAAAAAACATAATCGGGCTAAAAAATGAACGAAAATACAAAAGGACGCTAAGAGCATATGCAGCATTCGAGCGCGTAGTCACTTAGGGATATCCATATCACAATTACTAGGTGTTTAAACCGTCAGAGACGTGTGCCGAGAATGATATATGTAATACACGCTCTCCCAAACGAAATTCGGAGTCGGCTGGACGCAGCGTCCAGTATCACCTCTTATCCGGCCGCTGCCTTGGCTTAGTACGTGCATACGCGAATCTTTTACAGAGGGGGAAAAAAACAGAAGTATCACTTGACTCCTGAGCATGGAGCAGCACACCCGACCTAAAGCGAGTGACAGGGAAAAAATCGAGCCCCACAGTCGAGAAGCATACCTCGGCCGTGCCCTGGGGCATACGGGGGTAGCGAGAAAAATTGGAATGTCTGGTGCGGACTTTCTTCTCGTCGGGGCCAGATGAAAGATAGAGAAAAAAGAGAGGCGTACGCGTACCCACGCACCAATACAGCCAGTGTGTACGTACAAAATAAAATGGCACCGTGTGCAGCTCTCGGGTTGCGCGCGACGCGTGCGCCTGCACGTCGAGCTGAAGATGCGCACGCGCACGCTCTTGCAGTAAAAATTCTTTAGCCTCTCTTCCTTTTTCCACCAAGGGAGAGAGCAAAACTCAACGTGTGTGTATAACCACACATGTACACAAAGTGAGTATATCGGAAATTAACCCGGCAAGTTGACTGCACCCACCTCCAAGGTGGTTATGAATTTTTGCACTTCCTCGTGAGGAGGATAACAGCACTTGGTTGTAACCACTGTGTGAGCTGTGGAATTTGCAGAGGAGGGAGCGAGCACTTCCGAATTTCTAATGCTCCTGCGGGAGTTGAACGTGTTTTTTTTTTTTTTTTTTGCTCTGCTGCATTGTTTTAAGCTGTTCTCGTAAGGAATTTTTTTTTTTTTTTTTTAAATCAATTTCTTTCGTCGTCCTCCTCCACCGAGGCGGGTGAAACTAGAGAAATTGTCGTGTAATAGGTACTCGAAGAAGCCCCTCGAGTGCAGCGCTGCTCTGGTGCGGCAATTAACCAGGAACCACGGCCTGTCTGCAATTCTTTTCAGCCGACCGACGGGGGAAGAGAAGAGACGAGAGAGACGGAGAATAACGCCAAAAAGCCGTGCCTCGAGGCAACGTGGCTGTTCTTCCAGCCTCTTGTCGGAAGCATGCCCTAACCCATTTTCGGCGACGCTTCGCGCAATTAACGTCAAATTACACCGGAAATACCTTCAACTGAATAAACAATGATGCGGCACATGAGTATTAAGTGCACGTACGCATTCAGGTACACACAAACGCGACGTACCCGGCAGAAGGTCCGTAGCGTGTACGCTCGCGCGCGCGCGCGCGCAAGAACATGGCATCTGAAAGCTGATTGTGTAGACACGCACGACGGTGATGAGTACATTCACACAAGTAATTGCGAGTACTGAAAACGATTGATTTATCTTACGGCGACATCGGATCGATGTTCCCGGAAATCTAGATGACGGCCGATTTCGATGCAACACTGGCCACTCGGCTCGATCGACTCCATTTCGTGAACACGAGGATGCTCGGGCCGGTCGGAGGGTCCCCGAGCCGGGAAACTCGAGGCCGTCGAAACAAGCTGCACGCGCCATCCCTTCGATGCATATCGCGAAAAAAAAACCGGGCGCCCTTTCCTCCCCTGTCTCCGCCCCCCAGCCCGGCTACGGAGTACGTACAACCTTGTACACACACATACGGTGTAAAATAATAAATAAAAAAAAAAGCGTAGGTACTGTGTTACGGCTTATCCGCGCGGGTCACGGGACTTGGCGAGAGAAAGCAACCAAGTAGATGTGTAGAGTGTGTGCGAAAGAAAGTTGAGTAGGACTTACCTCAGGACTACTTCCTCTGGACGTGAGTAAGAACGTAGGGACCGAGAGCTTGGAGCTAACTGAACTGGCGTTGCAGAGGAACGGACGCGCGTACCGCGGTAGCACGCAGCGGCAAAGGACCGGGGCGAAGGAGAGTGAACGAAGCGACTATATGCAGCGGGCTTTGCCGGAGAACGCGCACTAACCGAGAACTATGCCAATTGGCTATGCTAACCACCACGCGAATCGCCCCGAGCGATGCGTCACCTAGCACCATCTGGCGGATCGGTCGATCGGCGCTTGTTTGCCCGGTTTTCTTGCTTCGGCTTCGGCAGCCGTTTTCTACTGGCTCCTGGTGGATCGTTGCTTCTGAGTCGCTGGGGGGGATGCTGGACCCGCGAGTTCGTTGTCGCGGGTGTCGAGAGGTGAGGTGGAACAGCTGCAACAGAGTCGCGAAATTCAAAGTGTTGGTCGTCGGTCACGTAGCTGGAGGGGACACGAAAGGACGAGGTGAGTTTCCCATCAAGTGTTTTACTCGTGGACTGACTCGGCAAGTCAGCCGAGGCTCGCGCTCGATACGCAATACGCGGCACCGTTGCTCGTGATAACGCGATTGGTGTCTCGTTAATTATAATTCAATGACTCGCCCCGATTCTCTTGGCATACGTTTAATGGAATAGCTTTTCGATTGGGTGTTTTTTCCTTTTCGAGGAAATACACACGCGCCAGAGATTGTTTTTGTTTTGACTCTCGGCGCTCAGCAGTGGTGCCAAGTGCAAATTTGCGCGCCCTTGATTCAAACTCCAGATGCGATGTGCTGCTGTAAGGTATTTTACCTACCCTATACTTTGCTTGGTAAATTTAGGATTGTTTTTGCCGTGCGATCGGCAAATGTTTCGTTGTTAAATTATCAACAGTAACTATATATTTTTACAAGTTTTACTAGCAGAACAAGTTTTTTCACATCTCTTGGCTCGAAGGAAAAAGTTTGAAGTCATGATGGTTTCGTATGATGCTCAGTTTTCGCGTAAAAAATTTATAAACTTTCAGTAAAACGATTCATATTAATAGTACAATGTGCATTTTTTTTTTTTTTAGCTTGCTCAGTTAAAATTGTTTGCAATGTTGCATAGCAGATAATATTTATAAATAATCTTTGAAGGATAAGTTGATTTTTTTTTTTTTAAGCCACAATAAAATTTTGTCTGTGTGTGTTCAGTTATTATTAACTGAAGAACACGAGTTACGACGTATAAATTGATTAATTAGGATTGGTATTCGTCTTATTTGATATGATGAATTTCATTATATTGTGAAATTAATTCTAATAAAACGTACTTACAATGAAAAAGTGAATGCTTAATAAAATTTTTTATGTTGGGTTTAATACTTGCTGGCAAGAGATGTTGTTTTTTACTTTTCCAACACACGGGAAACGTTCCATATAAATATTCTCAAGTTTTACAATAATGTTTTTTTTTCTTCTATTTCTGCAAATTTTTTACTCAACAATGGAGGAAAATAATTTAAAACATTTTTCTTTACTTTAGCCGAAAAATACAAAAATATGTTGATTTTACTGTTGCAGTCGCTGACTGATTTAAGTTCTTGCACGAACTTTTATTTATAAAATGATAGTAGTGATAAATATATTTCAATGGCCATAAATTGCTATCATTTACTAACAATGATGCAGTCTAAAATGCGCCTTCTACATACCTATTTTTTATTTTATCAAAAAACGGATTTAAAAATACCAAAGTGATAAGTGTGTTTTTACTCAATTTTTCTTGTTCAATTGATAATTTCCACTTCGTCGAATATACAAATCACGTCGTTATTTTCGCTTTAGCTGAAATATATAATTTAAAAGTATATATAAAATAAAGACGTGTAAGTAGATATGGTAGAGTGTATCTGTATCGACGTCACGCTTGTGTGTGTCTTGTGTGTTTTGATTTTGATAGTTACTCTAAATACTCGAATTCAATATATAAACACTTAAAAAAATATTAAACAGTGTAAACACAGTTACAAACTTGAATTATGAGTGAGAAAAGAAAAGCTGAAGATAATGGAAGTGATAACGAAGAATGGATTGGACCTTTGCCTTCTGACTCAGCTCCACAAAAGAAACAAAAAGGTTTGTATTTTTAGGGTTATTATTTTGTTTAAGAACATTTGAAAAAAATACCTCTTGTTTTTTGTTTTTTTTTTCGTAACAGTTTTACAGTATGAAAAAGTATATCTCCATAATTTACCTTCTTACGAATGCTATGAAAAATCATACATGCACAGAGATGTCATTACCCACATTGTTGTCACAAAGTAAGTCTGCAGACACAAGCATGTTCTTGCACTTTTTTTACTCTTGCTTATTTTTTGCAATACCGATTATATATTGAACATTCCATTTCCAGATCTAACTTTATTGTTACTGCCAGCTGTGATGGACACGTCAAATTTTGGAAGAAACAAGATGAGTTAATTGAATTTGTTAAGCATTTTCGAGCTCACCTACAGTCAATTCGAGCTCTAGCAGCTAGTAGCAATGGAGTTCATTGCTGTACAGTTAGTTTAGATAAATGTATGAAAATATTTGACATTGTGAACTTTGGTAAGTCTGATAAAAACATTAATTTATCACCCTATAGATTTTCAAAATTTTTCACTTACACATGAATTTTTCATTAGACATGATAAACATGATGAATCTTAGTTATACACCTCAGTGTGCAGAGTGGATTTATTCTCGTGGTGATGCCATAGCTGCGATTGCAGTTACTGATCAAGATTCAAATAAAATATATGTTTATGATGGTCAAGGAGCAGAAACTCCACTACACATTTTTGATAAACTTCACTCAAAACCCGTCGTTTTGTTGAAAGTGAGTAATATTTTTGATTGGCATTTCACTATACATTAAAAATCACATATTCTTATTGATTAAAATGTATGTGATATAATGTATTTTTTCAGTACAATCCTGTTTACGATATTTGCATATCTGTAGACAAAGCCGGAATGTTAGAATATTGGACTGGTCCAAAAACAGACTATTGTTTTCCAAAAAATGTTGAATTTTCCTCAAAATTTGACACTGATTTGTATGAGTTTGCAAAAAACAAAACATATCCTTGTGGCCTTGCTATATCTAATGATGGAAAAAAGTTTGCATCAACAAGTGGTGACCGAAAAGTTAGGGTATTTAATTTTCTTACTGGAAAAATGTCTAGGGTATACGATGAGGCTTTACAAAGATTTTCTGAGTTGCAACAAGCCACGCAACAACTCCCAAATATGGAATTTGGTAGAAGGTAGGTAGTATTAAAAATATTCTAATTTGTAAAATGAGAAACGAACTGAAAAGGTACTTTTTCAACCAGAATGGCCGTTGAAAGAGAGTTGGACAAAACTGAAACAAATCTTGGCAACGTTGTGTTTGATGAGTCTGGATACATGATAATGTACAGTACAATGTTGGGAGTAAAACTAGTGAACACCTACACCAATCGCTGCATGAAAATCTTTGCAAAACCGGAAAATATCAGACCTATACAGCTGGCACTCTTTCAAGGAAAAGCGAAAAAAACTGCTGTAACTGTAGAAATGGAAGCATCGGATAATCCTACTATGGATTTAACCAAGCCAGATCCCATTCTTTTCTGCACAGCACACAAAAAGAACCGCTTTTATATGTTTACAAGACGAGAACCGGACGACACTAAGGGTCCCGAATGCGATCGCGACGTTTTCAATGAAAAACCTTCCAAAGAAGATATTATTTCTTCCACAGAAACGTCCAACATGCAAAAGATTTTCGACACGGCCATCCTTCATACAACGCTGGGAGATATTCACGTAAACCTCTTTGGAAAAGATGTACCAAGAACGGTGGAAAACTTTTGTGTACACTCGAAAAGTGGCTACTACAACAGCCATATTTTCCATAGAGTTATCAAAGGCTTCATGATACAAACTGGTGATCCAACTGGTACTGGCACTGGTGGTGAGAGCATATGGGGTGGAGAGTTTGAAGATGAGTTTAGAAAAAATTTAAAGCACGACAGACCTTACACCTTGAGTATGGCAAACGCCGGATCAAACACAAATGGCAGTCAGTTTTTCATCACTCTCACTCCAACGGTAAGTTACAGCATTTAAAATCTTTAAAAAAAAAGTCCCACTGTTGCAAATTCAATCGTTTTTTAAAATTAATTTTTAGCCCTGGCTCGACAATAAGCACACCGTTTTTGGTAGAGTTGTCAAAGGAATGGAAGTGGTGCAAAATATTAGCCAAGTAAAAACAAATCCCAAGACTGACAAACCATACGACGATATAAGGATCATTAGCGTTACTCTGAGATAATCAACTGCAACCGAAATACTGTACATAGGCTATTAAATTTTATTTCTATTACAACTGATAAAAAAAATTTAACAAAATTCCACAGTATTATTTGCCCATCCGTACACCTTGATCCTTGTTGTTACGTCATTTCGCTACTTGATGTCGAAGTCCTCTCATGAAATTGTATGAATTTGTCATCGCTACGAAAGCATTGACACTGAGTAAATTATAATTTTTCGGTATAATTACTAGGGAATACCTGTACACGATACAAAGGGAAATCGAAATTAAGTTGTTGCGTATAAATTGAAAAAAAGAAAAAATATATATTTACCTGGACCAAATAATCCCAGTTAACATGAGGCTGAAAGTTTGGCTCAGAGAAATGTTTTCGACTGGTCGATTGATGTCGCCGATGCCGGCCATAACCAGGCCCCACTTGAAAGTCGGTGCCCAAAAAAAGATTGTCGTTGGTCCTGTTGGACGCAATGCCTTACATTATCGTGATACACGCCGATGTGTTGTCGTTCTTACCTGCCGGATGTAAAAATACAGCTCGACTCTTTTCCGGCAACAGAGCTGCGATCTTGTGCATCAATTTTGTATAAGCAGATGGATTTTTCGACGCCATTACTTTGGTGGTGTTATTGTTTTCAACAGAAAAGTCCTCACTTCAGAACGCCAATGTCTACGAAAATGTACGCGTACCTATCTCGATAACAAAAAAGCGCGATTCAACTTTTTTTTTTTT